GAACTACCACTGTTTTTTAAAAACTGTAAAATATATTCCTTGTTTGGAAAATATCACACTACTCTTAAACAATCAAGATCATAAATGTTTTCTTTAGTATTGAATGTCAAACTTCCTGTAACCTTCCATCACTACTTAGCCATCATTATTTTATACTAACTATGGGTCTAAAGGATTATAAATAGCAATTAAACGATAGTCCCTTTCTGTTTTTAAACCATGCCTTTAACCACAAATAGAAATGCATTTTTTTTAACTTGAAATATCAAGCTTGCAAAAAATCAAGTTTGCAAAAACAATAGAATGAAGCCTAAACAGAAGTTACCCTATAATTTCAGTCTTGTCCTCCAGTGGTACAAAGTAGGTTTTACTATCTTGTATCAAGATACATATTACCATGGTATTAACAGAACTCTGTAAGCCAGACAGACATCAAGGATTTTTATCAACAAATATTAATAAAGGCTGGGAATGTGGCTTACTGGTAGAGCRCTTGCCTAGCATCCATGAGGCTCAGGGTACAATCTCTCATACAGGGGGTGGAAAAAGTTAATAAAAAGTATAGGGCAACTTTACCTCTTCTTCTAGTTCCTTTGCTGTTTTCTCTAGACGAGTATTAATAGATCTAAATAATTTCAAGAAGAAACAATAAATAAAATAATTATAAAGTTAAAAATAATTAYATAAATACTTTGTAGCTATTCTTTAGTAAATGCTTGAACATTTACTAATCAGTGACACATGTCTGTAATCACAGTGGCACATGCCTGTAATCCCAGTGACTTGGGAGGCTAAGGTAGGAGGATCTTGAGTTCAAAGCTAGCCTCAGCAACTTAGGAAGGCCCTAAGCAGCTTATCAAGACCCTGTCATTAAATAAAAATATAAAAAGCATGGAGGATGTGGCTCAGTGATTGAGTGCCACTGGATCTGAGTCCCAGTACAAACAATAAATAAAAAAACAAATAAATAAAATATTTAGCTACAAATCATACTTGCACTTCTGTTCTAACTCTTCTTTGGCTTGTATCTCAGTGTTGAGGTGTTCTTCTAATGTATATAGTTTCTTCTGAATCTGACAAAAAACAAGAAACTTTGTTTTGGTTATATTTAAAGACAATAGGCTAAAAGACAACAATGAGAAGCTTATTTTGTTTTTCTGCAATCTTCACTATAATGGTATAATTGTGCCTGCTTAGTATGACCCTTACTGATAAAGAAAAATACACTCCCCTATTCTTTTTTCTGTCATACTACACATCTGTCTGAACACACTTATGCAAATATGAATAAGAAACTCATTTTTGCAGAATTCTTCAATGAAATCAAACTTCAAATTAATTTCTGTAATCTTCCAACACACTTCTATAGATTACCATTTGAAAATATGGTTACTTTTTTGTGTTTATGAGATAAAGATAAAAGATCTACATCTAAAACAAATATTCAGAATATTTAATTGAATATATATACTAAAAAATAYTATAAAATGAGAATATAAGCTCTTCTTTCATATCTTCCTCTTCCAAGTTTTCTCCTCAGTAGCTTTCCCTAGCTATGCTGGTCTTCAACTTCAAGCAAACAAAATTACAATATTATTTCCTTTTTAAGGATTTAATTTTTAAGTTCCTGTGGTGTCTTGGATACAATGACAGGTATTTTACAAATGTTGTCTTGTTAATTCTAACAAAAACCCTAAGAAAATGGTAGCATTACATCCACTTGGTCAAGAAAATGAAATTCAAAACAGGTAAATACCCAGGTCAAGACAGTGTTAATRTAAAAATTAACCCAGAACTATTAGATTCCAATGCCACTATTCTTTTCATTATTCTTCCCAGTGATTATATTCTCCATGGTTTCTTAATCATTTATCTTAAAATCTCTAWAAGAATAAACAGGCTAATGAACTAATCAAGTTTAAGTGTTTTGGGCTGCCACTGCATTTATTTGAGCACACTAGTTATCACATTTTACATGTTCTTTCTACCAGTTACATACCCTTAATAAGTAATCAGAAAATTACACGATGTATATTTTAAATAACAGATTCACAGTACGAATATTAAAAGAAATACTTGGTAGGGAAAAGGTTGGAAACGTCTCTTTGGTAGATGAAGTGCTCCAAACGGGAGCTGGACTGTGACTATATTAAAACACTGCTAGAGTGAYGTTTTTTCCGCTCATTTTTCAATGTAGTTGACAACATACCTCTTGGCTTTCCTATTAAAAGAAAAAAGAATAAAATGTGTGTTATACTTTATAAAATTCCTAATAAAAGTCATACCCAAATTATCCAACCTGACTTTTTACTTTTCATAATTTGAAGAAAACGATTTTGATTTACATGTATGTGGATGTACATGTATGACATAGTTTTGTATGCTGTTAGAAATTACAGCAGTCACAAAATACAATTTGATAGAAAATCTTTTATATAAACACAATCCTAAAAGGAATTCAGAATTTGAATCTCTCTCCTCCTTCTTCTATACCTGATAGATTAATATTTGTACACTTTTAAGCACTAAGGTCATAAAATTATCTAACTGGCATCAGAGCTGTTTACAAACCTATTCTATCACTTGTTACTAAAACTARGCCTAAACCAATGTATAATTCACCTTTTTACTAGCCATCCTGTGTGGAACAATGATAACCACTGTAATGTTAAGGTGAACTGTATTATATAAGGAATACCATCTCATGATTTAAAAAGTAGCATCAAATGAACTTTTAAAAAGCCACGGGAGTGCTGGGCRTGGTGGCATATATCTGTAATGTCAGCTACTCTGGAGGCCACGGCAGGAGGATTCAAGTTCAAGGCTAGGCTCAGAACTCAGCAAGACTGTCTCAAAATAAAAGGGCAGACTGAAATGTAGCACAGTGGTAGGGTATCTGTCTAGCTTATGTGAGGTTCTGAGTTCAAGCCCTAGTACCACCCACTCCCAAAATCAAATTAAAAAAAGAGAAAAAAATATGTATATTTGAACATGTGACTTAACTAGAGTAGTAAACATGTATACGTACTTCATTTTTCCTTGATTGCACCAAATCATTTTCTCTACAAGATGGAGAGTCACTTAATAACCTAGAAGGGAGGAGAAAAATAAAATCTTTTGCATTTCATTTTAATCCATTTTGTCTTATTCAACTAAGTTATTCTCAGAATTAAATATTAACCACAAAGATTTCTCTTTCTTTTCACTTTATTTTAGATAAAGCAATATTTTTGYCTCTGAACACTTTTCCCAGTAATTTAAAATGCAAACTTTCCTGCCGCTCCTTCTTTTCAGGTGACCAAGTCTTTAATTTTATAGGGACTTGGAGTCATTACATGGAACSCATTTTCCTCTTAATCAACTCATTTTAATTTCTTTAACTATTAAATTTTTCTTCTATTCCATCTTCTAGAAAGAAACAACTTCAGTCAAAAGTCTCTTTGCAGAGCACACAACAATCATCTGCTCCACTGCTCATCCCAAGTGCCAATTTTATTTTCTAATCTTACATCCAATACTCACTGCAGTCAACAATTACTGATTTTTGTTTTGGCCAGGATTTRTGCAGAGATTATAGGTAAGAAAATCTCGGTCGCAACAAGTCCTCCAGTCACAATACAGCTCACACGCCCTCTGTATGAGGTGCACTGGAMCACACTACTCTGCTCAAGATATGCTTACATTCTCAACCTTTCTTTAGCTACCTGGCTTGGCACAATCCTCTCCTAAGTTTCCCATATCTTGGCCACTCAAATCCCTTTCCCACCAGCTTTTAAAATGCTACCTTTTCCCTGAGTTCTCACGTGACCTTCCCCCTTAACCCACTCAAAAGAAATGTGATTAAGTTGCTTAGGGACTTTCTAAAATTGCTGAGGATGGCTTTGAATTTGGGATCCTTCTGCCTTAGCCTCCCCAGTCAACAGGATTACTGGAGTGTGTCACCACAACCAGTCCATCTCAGATTCTCTTGGCATCTTTCCTTATGGCAACATCACATTCTACCCTCCATTATGACTATACWATTCTCTTGTATCCTTCATGAAATGACAAACTCCTTTCAAAAACTGGTATTTGTTCTTACTTCATATACAAYAGTGCTGTGCAATAATGTGTAAATGAGTATAACATTAAAAAATCATATAGTAAAATTAAAAATAATTGAGAGTTTAGGAAAATCTCGAAAGTTTAAAACAAATTAACATTTAATCTCATATAGTTCTCAAAATGTTACTTTATAGCTAGATTAGGAAAATAATAACATTTAATAATCCACATACAGATTTTCCCTATAGTAGGTAAATCCTATGAAAGGCAGCTGATTTCCCACAAAAGCTTTAGGAATTGGGAAGGTTTCTACATCTCCTTTATCATCTTCGATGTCATCAAAATTGCTGCTGTCTATGTCACTGCTGAGTTCAGGTACTACAGGAGCTGCCGCTATTAAAAGAAAAGAATTATTCATAAGCAAAATGTAAGAAACAAGCCACCTCTATGTTTATGACATATTATTAATATGATTAAATCATGTTTTACACAAAATCTTAGCAACACATCTTCCATTTTATCATTTCACAAAATTAAGATTTTGTGAATAATTTGTTACTAAAGACCAGCAATAGATTAATTAGTTATACAAGTTAATACAATTAATCAGTTATATAAGGAAAGGTATACGATATTATTCTAGGTGTAAAAAATTATAAGTAGTAAGTAATAACCTGCACATATATTCCTTAAGGTCCTCAGTTTTCTACATTCTTTAAATAGAAATATTTCTTACCCTTAAAATGAATCAATGCCATAGGTAGACAAAGTAAAAATAAATTATTATTCTATGCTTTACCAGAGTATAGTCTCCATAAATAATTATTTGATTTGTTAGTCCAAATAAAATCATATAAGAATTTTCCTTGGCAAGTTAAGAAACATATAATACTTATTATAAAAGAATTGGAATATACTAATAAGTACACATTGGTTTCTAAGATATTGAGAAAATAGTAATTTATTTATAAATGCTGCCGCAGGAAAAATTTGGAATGTAATCTCAATTTAAAAATGAGTTAGCATAAAGTGTATCAAACATGCCTGTTACGGAAAAAGTGGAATTAATTAATGAGATTTTTAAATGGAATGGAAATATTAGATTTATTGACTTACTCTCTCTTATGTTATCCCAATTCCATTGATCATTCTTAAAGAAAGGATGCTGTTTGATTTCTTCTACCCCATTTCTCCCAAGTCGTACCTCCCTAAACAATGCAGTTAAAGACTGTATTACAATAAAATAATGAAAAAAATATTAACTCATCTCAACAGTTTAACCAAAATAAGGATAAAAAATGAATAAGATTTTTTAAAAAACAGCTTCAGCCTAAGTGTTTCTCTAAAATAATCTCAATTTTATAGCAATTGATTGCTCTAGATATATTAAAAAGACTTGACATAAAGCAAACAATATGGAAGTAAACTATACTTCCCTCTGTTGTTTATGTCAAATRGAAATATGTGAGACTGTCAAGTAGAAAGATTCACCTACATGTTTCAAACTTAAAAAAAAATTCACATATTACGTTTAGGGCTATACATATTTATTCTGATAAATTATCTCTTCATTTATATTAAATTATCACTCAATAAGAAAAATATAATTAAGGATTTCATTCTTTTGACTGTTCAATGAAGACTGTATAGGATGGGAATGTAGCTCAGTAGTAGAGGGCTTTTCTAGCACACACAAGGCCCTGTATTTGAGCCCAAGCACAGTAAGGAAAAAAAGGCCAAAAAAAAAAAAAAAAAAAAAGACTGTATGGGAAATAAAAAGCATTTGCTTTAAGTGTATTCCTGGAGCTAAGTTTAACATGAACAAGAAAAATTGTGCATTTTAAAGGACATACTCTTAGCCAAACTTATGACATTATATTATTTTCAAAATAGTTCAAAATATTCACATATAATCATCCTCAGAATGTTTCCTCTCCCAACAAGTTGYTAAAGCAAATCTACAAATCATAATCCATTCATTAATATATGCTGTACCTACTTTACAATGCAATCCCCACCCACCCTATTGAGTCCCCAAATCTAACATTATACAAATTTATTTGAGTTTATCAGCATTGATTCTTCATTATTCATATAAACAACAAGTTTTAAAGTTTTATTATACAAATGACTAACTCAAAAATTATTTACCTAAAGAATAAAGATAAAATAACTTATAATTGTATTTGATGAAAAAAATTATATACTAGCTGGATGTGATAATGCATGCTTGTAATCACAACTACTTGTTGAAGCAGGAGGATCTCAAGTTTGAGGCCATCCTGGGCGATTTATCAAGACGCTGTCCCAAAATTAAAAAGGGAATGSAGACCAGTAGTAGAAAGTTTGTCTAGCATGTATGAGGCCCTGGGTTCAATCCTCAGTACTGCAATACAATAACAACAACATTAAATTTGATGAGAAAAAACAGTTATTGTTTTTTAAAAAAATGTGCCAATAAAGCTTCAGGTGGGGGCAGGTGGTGGTGTCAGTTTTATAAAATCATTCAATTTGAAAATGTATATCCCAGGATTCTACCTTCAAGATTTTATCCCACAAAAAGTGTGTAATGATGAATGTATAAGCATCATCATTGCAGCACTAACAGCAACTAGCTTATAAACAATAAGGTGTGCATGTTGTATATTAGAGCTAGAAAAGCTAGATAATATTAGTTACCTAATCTAAGCCCATCATTTTATTGATGAGCAAAATTATCTCCCAAGGAAAGAACATAATTTCCCCATGATTACAAAGCTGATGAATGAGTTTGGACTGGGGTGCGAGCTCCTTTGCTAGGATGACCTCTATCACAAGTATAAAATATAGAAGAGGACATCAGAAGAAAAATGAAGGAATAAAATAGCTTTCTAGTTTTTTTTTTTTTTTTTTTTTTTTGGGGGGGTACTTGGGACTTAACTCAAGGGCACTTAACCACCGAGCCACATCTCCAACTCTTTTTATTTTTGAGACAGGATCTCACTCAGCTGGTTAGGACCTCACTAAGTTGCTGAGGCTGGCCTTGAACTTGCAATCTTACTGCTTGAGTATCTCGAGTCACTGGGATTTCAGGCACATCACTGCTGCTGGGCTAGCTTTTCTTTTTGAAGCAGGTTTTCACCTTTGTTCATCTATTTGTTTTAAAAAATATAAAATTTTCAGAACAGACTTGTTCATATTCAAATGTGAATAAGAGAGTTGGGAAGGAGGTACTCTCGTATCAAACACAAACAGTTTTTAAGATTATAAATTGTTAAATGCTCTTGTCTAGTATGTATGAGGCACTGGGTTTGATCCCCGACACCACATAAAAATAAAAACAAATAAAGACATTGTTTCTAACTT